TTGTGAGCTGAAAGATTCTTGTCTGTACTTCCTGCACATATCCACCTCCTTGCTTTGCGCTGGAAGTACTCCGTTCTTCAACTTCTCAGCGGCGTCCCTTATTTGAACCAAAGTTCGAAAAGGGCTTCACCACCTTAGGTGTGAAGACTCTGGACAACCCAATGTCCTCCAGGTGCCACCCTTCTTCCTCACTTCTTTTCTTCCCCTTCGAGCCTTTCTTGAACTTTACGATGCGGTTTCCCATTATCTTCTTCTCGCTCCTCTGACGTCGTTTCTCCCTCTCTGACCCTGTCCATCTGACCTCATCGATGACTCTTGTCGTTCAGGACGACACTTCTTACACAACTTTCCTTACACTTCTTTCATCCTTCCGTCTTCCATCTCTCTTGAACCAACCCAGTTGTGTATTCACCTTCCTTCTTGATGATGTCATCTCCCTTCCGTCACGCCTCGTACTCGGTACCCTTCCAGGCCCCCGCTTTCTTCCGATGATACCATCGGCTTGTCTGCGCCCGGCCCCGTTTCCTCGATATGCCCTTCCCTTCCGAGTTGTCTTCCCTGCATTCCTCCTGGATGCCCTTGTCGGGGCGCCGTCGTTGCACTCCGCATGTGCCTTCCATCCTCTTTCGGCTGTGAGTGTAGGGTGCCTCCCTGACCCCCTGATTCTGCCAAACGACCGTGCCTTCCCGTAGGTGCGTCCGATAGTTTGCCTCCGAGACCCGTCCTGTTAGTCTCCTACCGCTTCTCCATCTCGTCCTTCCCTCTGCATCGATCTCCTTTCTTTCTTCTGCATCCTTCCCTCCCTTTGCTATGGGTTCGACGTCGGACTGTTCCGAGTCCCTTTCACTGCCTTTCTTTTTCCTCCTCTCTCCCTTCCTTTCAATGATTCTCCCTTTGCCTCCTCAATTCCTTTCCTTCCTGAGTGTGTCCCTTATCATTCAATGCCGAGGCCTGTACTCGAGTTTGATGCTTCCCCCCTGCTTCGCTTGGTGGGTTACCAGCTATCCTCGTGTCCAGGCCCTCGTGTGCAGCACGAACCTTGACTCACACCCTTCCTTCCCTCGCACGGAGTTCCTTACTCCCTTTCTCTTCTTCGGTGTCCAGTACCCTTATGATACCCTGCCATGCGGCCGCCTTCTGATCCACCGCTCTGGCTTCTCGCCTTCTGTACTTTTCGACATCCTCTGAGTTGAGGTTCCCCTTCTGCGCTCCTGGTATCCCTCCCGGCATCTTCAGCCGTTTCGCTGGCTGGTTCAAGTTTGCTTCCTGCACTCCTCTCTCCCCTTTTTCTTCCGGGCTCCGACCGTGTGCTGCTCTCTGTCTCTACCTTTCTTCACCTTCCTTCACTCTCCGTCCTCCAGACGCCCCATGACTTAAGGACCGCCCAACGACCCTGGTTCCTGCTTCTGCTGCCTTCAGCACACCTCCTTTCGGTCCCTTGGTCGCATGGCTCTTGTCCTCTCCCGGCTCTCGTTTTCCCCCTCTTTCCGGCTGGTGATCCTCGCACGTGGGTTCTTCGCCCTTCGTCACGTACTCGTGCTTTGGGGCAAGGTTCATCCGCCTGATCAGCTCTCCACAGCCGCGTCGGTTCCCTGGCCAGGATTCCCTTTTTCCGTCCTTGTTCCCTCTAGCTGTTCCGAGTGGTCCTCGTTGCCAGCTTGCGCCCTTCCTACTGCCGCTGCTCCACGGTTCCTTCGGTCCCTGAGCATCCCACTCGGGGTCCTCCGCTTGTTCGTGCTTCGTCCCCCTTCTCTCTTTCCTCAACCTTCTTCCTCGCTTGTCTCTTGCTTTATCCTTACTCCCACCCTTTTCAGCTACCTCCTTCTGTAGTCCTTCCCGCTGAGGAGCTTCCTTCCTGAGCTTTCGCCCCCAGGCTCTCTCTGCCCTTCCTGCCCTTTTTCCTCTAACTTTGCTTCACTTGGGCCTCGTAGTCCTGCCCGCTCGCGTTGGGCGCTACCGTCACGCCTCCCCTTTCTTCGCCTTCCTCGTCCTCCATGCCCTACATCAGATAGCCTTCTTCCTTCCTTTCCACTGCTCTAAAGACTCCTCACCCTCTGTGCTGCGTCCCTTTTTCTTCCTTTAGCGTGCATCCCTTCCATAAGCACCTCCTCTGCCTCACCGCAACCGCCCTCGCGGTCGTGGCTTCTCCAGGCGCGCTTTCCCTTTTTCTTCCAACCTTCACGTAAACCCTCCCTTGGTGTTTTTATTCCTGCTCTTCTTCCTTCTCGTCTCCTCGCGGCTCCAACACGCCGTAGCCCTTCAGCTGCTGGCTCCGAGCGGTAATCAGCACTTGTTGCTGCCTCCCTTCTCGGGCGCCTCTGCACGGCTGTGCCCTTCCCTTCCTTCGTCCTATTCACGATTAGACCCTTGCCGCACTCCAACTCCTCTTTCGTGCTCTTCGGCTGTGCCCTTCCCTTCCATCGTCATAACCACGTTTGACCCTTCGCCGCACTTCAACTCCTCTTCCGCGCGCTTCCTTCCGGTTCCACACCTTGTTCTTCCATGTTCCATCGGTGTAGCCTCCTTTGGATTTCCTTCCTCTGTTCTCGTGTCATCCCCTTTTCTTCACCTTGCCTTGCCGCTGCCCCGTTTTCTCCTGGTACGCTATCTTCGACGTATGGACCGCCCATCGTCACCCTTCTTTTCTCTTCCTTTTTCCTCCTTAATGTCCTCTCTTCTCCACCAAACTTCTGCAGCTCCACTTTCACCTTCAAGTTCACCCTCTTCAATGGTTGGTCTGCCCTTCCTGCTGACCCCTTTTCTTTCCACCATCCTTCCACAGTTCCACTTTCTCCTTCTCGTTCCTCATCTTTACTGGCTGGTCCGCCCTTCACCACCTCCATGGAGTCCTCCGCGCCCAGCCCCGCCGCCGCCATCAGTGCGGGTCCGCCCATATAGCCTGGCAGGTAGGCCGATGCTCGTTGAGCCAAGTCGGGACAATCAGCGGGACCTGTCACATGAGTGCCAAAGAACGAAACGGCGAACGAAGACGAGCCGAAAGGCGGCGAACGAAGACGAGCGACCTCCTAAAGCCCTGCGGGTGACCGAAATTCGGGTAGTTGCGGTCCCACTTCCCCTTTGTGTCGAGCAACGAAGGGAGGTCGCGGCGGAACGACGGGTAGTCGGCCCCGACCTGCGGGCTTCTCCACTCCTATCCAGGAGGAGTTCCCGTCCGGTACCAACTAAACCTCCCGTCACCACCCTTGCGCCCTCAAACGGCCTTTTCACCCCCCGTGTGGGGTTTACGGCCGAAACCCTTCTCCTTCACGGTGCACTCCTTTTCCTTACCTTGCCGCAGTGCCCTTGTCCCTGCTCGCCCGCTTACGGGTTCAGCCGGCACCGCTCATGAAATGCCTCTGACAGCATTACCATGGGACCTGAAGGCCACTGCGGTGGCGACAAGAAGGTCCATCCTTCGGTCCTGTCCGGGACCCCTTCGACCAGTAGCCCGCCACCCAGGTTCGCCCCTGGTTCCGCGTCTGCCACCCGGTCGTCTCGCGGCTCACCTGTTGTGTCCTCCTCCACTTTGCAGCCGTCGAGGCTTAGGCGAGCCAGCTGCACCTGCCACTCCTGCCGCAGGAACAGGTCCGTATGAGCGCTCTGACCTGTGGCCGTCATGGCCCAAGCCTGGAACTGCTCCCTCTGGATCAAGAAAGCCGGAGCGACCAGCCGCAGTGCTGCATGCCAATGCTTCAGCGTTATGAGCAAAGCCAGCCACACCTTCGAGCTCCATCCGACCTCTTGCCTTCTCGGCCAACCCAGCCTGGCCCACTCTGATGCTTTGGTGTGCGTCACCAGCACTCGCGCCAGCCTCGTGCCCGTCTGCAGCACCGCTGTGACCTTGAACCCTTCCAGGTAGAGCCGAACTCTTACCTTTGCCGGTGTCACCCCCAGGTTGACGCGCTTCTGTGGCGAATCGATGCTCGCTCTCAGCCATTCCCTGCACCACTTCCGTAGTAGCACCATCGTCTCCTTCAGGAGGTCCCAGTCTTCCTTCAGCGCCGTGGCCTCCTTCCTTCCCTGTTCCTCTAATTCTGACCAACGCAGCCACACGCAACCCATGAGCAAGTATATCTCCCTGCTACTTGGGTACCTGCGGTGCAGCTCGCGTCCGATCTCGAACAGGTGCTGGCCCATGACTTCCACCACTTCCGGTGCCTGGTCCTGGGCTTCCAGCAGCTCTTGGAACTGTACGAACTTCTGTGTATGGCCACGCCAGCTGGACCACTTCCCCTCCTAGCTGTGTCTTGGTCAGACTCGCCCCGTCGACGAGGATGTCCCGACCCCGCTTGCCTCGGCCCCACTGGATGTTCAGTCCCAACGCTGTCAGAGACGTCAACGCCAATGCAGCCATCTGGTCCCTTCGAACTTGGTCGCCCTGCAGCACCAGGATCACCTCCTTGGGGAGTACCACCACGGCCAGCTCCTCCTCCTCGAACATGCCTTGTAGCAATCTCGCTATGAGGGCCATCCAACGCCCCCACAGCAGTGCCGCTGCCTTCATGCCTGGCATGAGGGTTCGGGCCGCATAAAACTGCTGTCCCGGGCCAATGAATACTGATTGGGGCGCTTCACCCTCCATTGGTCCCAAATGTTCCAGCGGCCTCACGACCTCAATCCTCAGCAGTTCGACTGATGTATCATTCTCCTTCTTGTCCTTTGCCGCTTGTGTTATCTTCTTCAAGGCCGCTACCACGTCTCCTATCGTGGCCCAATCCACCGTCTCCGTAAAGGATCCTCGTTTGCGTCGGGCCATCCTCACACGCCACCTTGACGAATCTTGTCTCACCTTCTCCTCCCGTATCTCTAGCCGCGCAGGGTGTGATGTGGGCCACCCGCGTCCCGCTAGCTCCTCCTTCTCCACACGCAGCACCATCGCGTCCTTCTCGAGCGGCTCCAAGGCTTCCAGGGTCTCGTGTGGCATGTCCTCTGCACTCCTGTGGAAGGACAACACACCCCCATCTGCCCTGTCCCACTCTTCCCATGCGACCAGCTCTGCGACTATGGGGTCCCCTTGTTTGAAGACGTTCGTCTCTGGGATCGGGCACCTGAGCCCCAGAGGGGCGCCGGAGTGTGCCCATTCTGCAATCCCCCTATCCGGGTCTTCTGCCTTCGTCGCCCAAGCCTGGATCACCTCATAGGCCCATGGGGATTCCTTACGCCACTTCGACGGTTCCTGGACCAAATTGCGCCCCACCGCTCCAACCACACGCTTAAGCTCTTTCATCCACTTGTTCACCGTCGTACTCGACAGTTGATGCGTCCATGAGCCATACGTGGTGGCGATCAGCAGGGCACCATTCTCGCGTCCTACGAAGCCTGTCCAGGCACCCCTCAACCTCCTTCCGACGGTTCGTAGTCCTTCACACCGCGCCACCGCTTCCTGCGCGTTCCTCAAACCCCCGATGGGGGGTGACCGACCTTCTTGCCGTTCGCTGCCTTGGCCTCGCTCCCTTAGATCCATCTTTCGATGTTTTTCCTTCTTTGAACCTAGTTCCTTCCCAGCTTCCCAACCATAGTAGTGGTGTCCCTTTTTCTTCATCTTATCCTTCCTCACTTCCGCTTCCGCCAACCACAGCATGTGTTCCGTGAACCGCTTAGCCAGCTCACTAGCGGCTTCCCTTGGCAGTTGTTGAGCTGTTCTGCACCTTTGTAGGGTGTTTGCCGCTTTATGCCCCTTCGTGCCACAGTTGCACTCCCGCCCGAAGGAGTTCAACCCATGCAACACCCCTTTGATTTTCATCCTCTTCCAGAACCTCTTCCCTTTCTCCTCCTCGATCTGGTAGGCACACCAATGGAACATGGTGTGCTGAGTCCCTTCTTCCTTCCATCCTTCTTCGAAGCCCTGTGGCGACCAGTCCCACTCTTCCTCACTCGGATGACAGATGACTGCTGCACCCTTGAACTCCTCGGTACCGCTACTGCCCTTCACTGCCTCCGCATACTTGATCGCCATCCTCCACATCTTATCTTCCTGTTCGCACTGATCTTTCTCTTCCGCCGTCAGCGATGGTACTCCCTTCGGATGTTCCTTCGTCCTCCATTCATGTCCTACTCCGTCTTCTGCAAACTTTTCCTGGTACGTTTGCGACGGTGGTGCACAATAGACACCATCCACATGCCCTTCCTTCGCTAACCTCAGCCAACCGTCCCAGACGGCTACTTCCCCCGTTCTTGCGGGTATTGCCACATTCATGAGACACAGCCCTTTCTTCCCCCCTTCCCTTCGCATTTCTTCCATCAGCCTGTCGTCGCCCTCTTCGGCTAAGAAATGCACGAACACAAACTTCCTCTCCATCAGATATTCCTTCAGGGTGATCTTCCGGGCCTGGTCTCCCTTCATGTCCTCGTCCTCTCCCTTTTCCTTCCGCTCCAAGCTTCTTCCATCCTTTTCTCCCGATGAATCCGGTCGTTCTCGATCCGATCGTGCTCCTTCCCGTACCGGTGTACCCCGGCTTGAGCCTTCCGGGCCTCCGCAACGTTTAGTCTTGCCGGCCCCCGAGTACCAAATCAGCTCTAATACCTCTTGCCATCCCCCTGACTGCCTTTCCTCCCTGCCTCGTGTCGTTGGTTCCGGACTGCGATCAGTACCAGCCCCACGATTTGAACCACAACTAATGTCAGGGTCCTTCTGGTCCTCGTGCACTTTCGTCTCCGCCTCCGTATAAAGCCTTTCCACTTCCGGCTCTTGCCTGACCTCCATCCCCTTTTCCTCGTTTTGGGCATATCGTTCGCCAGGATCTCTTTGACCTCTTCTTCCGTTTTGGCTTCCTCTTCCTTGTCGACCGCTGCCGTCAGTGCCTTCATCCCTAGGTCGAACTTGGTGCCTCTGTAGAAGGCCTGCTGGATCTTCACCGACTTTCTCTCCCAACCCAAGCCTTCCTGGGTTGATACCGCTACTTGATCACGCCAGCTATCCTTCCCTGGGATCCTCTCTTCGGTCCTGCCGTCCACGGCTCTTGGCCTACCACGGTCACTCCCGGCAGTGTACCCTTTCCAGTCGAGGATCATCTCCTTCTTGTAGGTTCCCTCGAAAGTAAGGTTGGCCTTCTCCACATCTCCGGTCCGCTGGAACCCCTCCAAATCCACCTTCTCCTTCATGCCCTCGCCAAAGTCATAGGCCTCCCCGCTTGGCCCCAACGCGGCCGCGAGGAACCACCAGCAGCAGCCCACGACCATGGCAACAAAATTAGGGCAACTAGGGGCGGGGGCTCCCTTGAGCCAAAATGGCAGAGCACTTCGTGCATCCACCATCCCCCCCCTGTTGCCACTGTTTCCTTTTCATGCAGAAAATTCATTGCACTCATTTTCTTTTACAAAATACGCCAACTCTTTGTTGGTGTCTACTTGAATTGAACACTAGAAATTCTGAAGTTCTAGAAACAAGTGAATGGTTGTGATTGGGCACTGTTGAACTTGTTCATAGGCATTTGGCTAAACCAATGGCAAAGAGACAAACCATTTAGCTACTGTTTTGCTGGCGCAACAGGAGCTTTAAGATCCCACAGCCTTTCCGCACGTTTTGCACCACGTCATCGAAAAGCAAAAAACGCCGCGCCGTTCCGCCCCGAGCAGCGCTGCTCTCATTTTTTCGCCGCGCCGTCCGCGCGCCGTGTCCGTGCGGACTCCGCGGTGCCTGGCAGTGCTTCCTCCTTGGAAATCATCCGCATCATGCCGGCCAGGGCCACACGGGAGCCTGGGCGATCCGTGCGTTGGTCTCCGTCGGTTCGGCGAAAAAGGACCGATCTGAGTCCGCAAGCATCCACATGGTATGAATTAAAAAACCGCTCCAAAATCATGATCCTAGCTTCAAATCACAGCAGTTCCAAGCGGTGGTTTTCATGTACACAACATCTGCTCATGTATATGGTTGTCTGTTGTGCGTGCTAGCTATATATACATTTACATTCTTGCTTACAGGTCAAACGGTTCCAAATGAAGCTGAATGTAGCAGTCCTCTTATACCCGGAAACAAGTTGTCAAGATATGATAGGTGACTTTCCTATGTTTTCCTATCATTCTTCTTTATTCGTACATACAAAGCCCCCAACCCCACCTGCCCTTCTCGTCTTTTCACTAACTCTCATTACTGTCACCCCGGGGGAACGTCGTGCACGCTTGTGTGTATGTCTCTAGTGTGTTGAGTAGTAGCCCTGGAAAGCAGTTGGACAAGTGGTCAAAGCTGCAAACTGGTCTAGAGCGCATCTAGCACGGGTCTAGCACGCTCCCCTGCCAGTGCCTCAGGCCACCAAACGGCTGTGATCAAGAGCTTGCTTTGCGGTCTGCCGGCTTTCCTAGCTTCGAAATAGTTAGCTGTTAGCTACACAATAGCTCTTCCACGCACACAGAATCGAAGCGAAATGGGAACATGCCCACAATGGATGGGCGTCGGTGTCCCCTGCTTGAATATATATGCATAAACCAATTACAACCAGAATGGCTGTATCCAGACACAGACTTTTGTCCCACACAATGTCCGTTCACACCTCAACAAGTTTGTTTGCCAATGTCTGTCTGTCTGTCTGTCTGTCTGT